GGGCCAGGATTAGTCAGCCCCAGTTTTTAATTTTGATTTTGTTCTTTGACCAACTGCATACTCATAACAAAAAGGGGAGGTGTTCAAAAAGGTGTCCAAATTCCCCCTGCCCAACCCTTTCAGTCCTTCCTCCCCCCAAAAAGGATTGAACTCTCACACAGGTGTTGTCCATTTGTAACAAAGGAATGGTCAGAAAAGACCATTAATTATCCTATTATTCCATGCCCAGCATAATCTCAACCTGGCTCTCCCAAATGTGGTTGCATGTTTTACAGGCAAATCTTCAAATCTTGATTTAAAAACTCTCACATAACATTTTATACCACTTTTAAGAGTTACTGTTACTGTGAATGACCCATAAAGATGATAAAGAAGCAGATTGAACACTGAAATTAAGATAATTTCCCCCTTATTTACAGTACAAAAATTTTATTTTTTTTTTGTTAGGATAATTTAAAGTTTAAAACTGAAGTAGACATACTCATTTTACAAACAAGATATTCTTCCATAAGTAGGACCATTAAAAACAGTAAACAAAAAAACCAAAAAGCTATCTTTACAAAAGCTCTGTGCATAGCAACTTCATACTGTATATAACTGACAAAGCAAAAAAAAAAAAAAATACAACCCAAAAAAACAACCAGCCAACCCCAAATAAACCCCAAAACTATACAGGAGGGAGAAATGAGGCCTTAAATTATAGGAGGGAGGAATGGTTTGGAGAAACCATGCATATTGGAAATGTGCAAAGAAAGAGGGAGAGGAAGATGCTGTACCAAGATAAATTATGAGATCAAATCAAGTCTTCAGAAGTTATGATGAAATCTGTCATTACCTATTGCAACACTTTCATCTTCCCAGTGGCAAAGAGGAAAACTCTCAGGGAATTGTCAACAGCAACCACTCAAAGAGGACAGGTTTGCTTCTTACAGTAAAAACATTCTCACCCATCAGTTCTGGAATCATCTTTTCCCTTCTGGTCGAGTGTTTTGCCATTGCCAATGTCCTTTTTCATGGCCAAGGATTTCTGATTGTGTTTATTTAAAGGTGTTTTTCTCTGTAAACCTCAATTAATTCTACACTCATCTCTACTACCATGGTTTCCCTGCATGAGCAAAATCCATGTTCTAAATAATTCCTAGGTTTCTTATGTTTTCTTTTCTTTTAATTTTTTTTTTCCCTCAAAGCAAACCAGATTTTTCATATTTGCATCAACACAGGCAATTCCTCTTCTGCAAATGCTTGGAGCAGCTTTTCAGGGAGGTTTCTCTTTTTCACTTGGACTCATGGCAACTGGGCAACTGGACAGAACTAATAAAAATAACTGAAGGGTGAAAGGAATGTTCAGTGTTCCAGAAACTTTCCTTTTTTTTATTTTTTATTGCCAGACTGTCATTTTTACCCCTGAATCTTCTCAAGATTTCAGTGATGTCATAGATCTTTCTTTCATCTACCTGTGCTGACTAAGCAAAAATAAAACAGAAGGGTGGACAGACCCCAGCTTTTCCCATGAAATATCTCCTATTTTTTTCAGTTGGAAACTTTCCTGACTGAGATTTTGTAATGAAAATCCCATTTGTTAGGAAAAAAGAAGAGGATTTAAGGTAGCAAACTGCTGCTTCAGCAGGTGGTCTAGAAGTTCCCATTCATCTGGAATATTTGCCAGACAGAATATTGAGGGTATTTGATGATCAATTTTAGAAGTAGGCTGTACAGAGAAGGGCAGGGGGAATATTCAGAATCTTCATGCTTCAGAGCTGTTTGGGGTTTTGTGGGAATGGAGGAAAGGATTTGATAGAATGAGCCTGGTAACATAATTTTTGGAATTAGGACTCAATGTGTTTTGACTGAAAATTATGGAAGTTTTAATCCCAACTCCTCCAGTCCTTAATCCATTTTTATCCCTGGATAAATGCATAATTCCAAACATGAATTTGGACTTCCTACTTTGCCTTGCTGGGATATCACTACCTATGAATATATGAAATATTTTGGGGGTTTTGTTGTTGCTGTTTTGCTGTTTGGAACGTCCAAGTCGACCCTGCACCCTGTTGTTATCAGAGATACACTGACAACTCCAGAGCTTTTAGCATCTCTGATCCTTTGATATTTCAGAACTCGTTTGGTTTCAGGGGTGCTGATTGACCTCCTTGGTGGCACGAGGGGCACACAGAGAACCCCAAAGGACAATCAGCCTGCAGCTGGAACTAACAGGGATTTATTTTATTTCATTGTTTGTGGAACTCAGACAGTTTCAATACTCTGACTGTGAAATATTAATTATATCCATGTTTCTTAAACCCACTTTATTCCCACCAAATCTCTCCTTAAATTATCATTTTTGCTGATATAAGTTGGGCCTTGAGTTTTAGAAGAGATTAACCCTCCTCCAGCTTTTCAAAATGGGACTCAATGGCATTGAGAAGGCACCAAATGAAGACCCTGCCAAACCTCCCAGCACAGTCAGGAACACAAAACTCCTTCCCAACAAGTGGGACTTCCTTTATGGATGGCCAGAGCAGCCCAGCTGGTGTCTCCAGTCCCTCTGAGATCTCCTGCAGAACTCCACGTGCAGGGAATGGATTTATCCCATGGACCGAACTGTGCACTTGCCAGGAAAGGAACCTGGGGCACCTGGTGCCATCCTTGGAAGTGTTTGTTCCATCCCTGGCAGTGCCCAAGACCAGGCTGGAGCACCTGGGACGGTGGAGGTGTCCCTGCCATGGCAGGGGTGGCACAGGATGGGCTCTAAGGTCCCTTCCCACCCCATCGTTCCAGGATTTTCTGATTCCCTGCCCTGCTCTCCCAAACCCTGTCCTTCAGCTTAACTGGAATTTTTAGAATTTAGAATCACAGAATCACAGAATTTCTAGGTTGGAAGAGACGTTTAAGATCATCGAGTCCAACCCATGCTCTAACACCTCAACTAGACCATGGCACCAAGTGCCACATCCAGTCTTTTTTTAAACACATCGAGGGATGGTGACTCCACCACCTCCCTGGGTGGATGATTCCAGTATTTGACCACTCTTAATCACTTCAAGCACCAAGTGTCTGAGTCCAGGTAAAAGATCAGGGACCATACCTACATCGACTGGGGATTGACATACCTGTGTCAGTAAAGCAGTGATTCCAAAGTCTTGCTGGTGCAACTGGAATTTAGAATCACAGAATCACAGAATTTCTAGGTTGGAAGAGACCTTTAAGATCATCCCCCTCAGCCTCCCATCACCACCCAGCTGTGGACCTGGAGAGGATTTTTGGCTCTCCCTAATCCCAGTTAGCTCCACAGCAACCCCAGAAGAGCTCAGCCATGTGAGTTGTCCCAGTTTCACCATCCCAAGCCCGGCTCAACTTCTACCATCCCTAAAGATCACCAGAACACAATTTTCCTTACCCATCCATTAAACTACTGGCAAATGGACAAGTTCAGATCCTGGGGCGTTATTTAGGGTTTATTGATTAACATCAACATGTTTCCATAGGAACAACTGTCCATGCAGCCATTTATTGCGTGGATTTTAGAGGGGTCTCTGTAGTGTAGCTGATTTTATTTTTCCCCCCACTAAAAATGCCTTTCCAACAACCAAATTCTTTTGAGTGTTCTCTGGTTTAGTTGGATAATTCATTATTTATTTTATCAGACTTGTCCTCACCTTCCAATTTCAGGAGAGGAGATGCAAAGGAGAACTAAACTCTTTTTTTAGGCTGAAATGCAGAAAAAACCAGAGTGATTGATTACCTCTATGACTTCGATATATAAGTGGCAAATACTTACCATTTTTAATGACTCAGGATAAAAGTGCATAAATCATTCAAATACATGTTCACCCTTTATAAATGCACCGTTAATATGAAGCATAACTGAACTTAAGGTGTTCTAACTACATGGAAAACCCCAGAGAACCCTTCCTCTCCTAATTCATACATTGAATCTATAAAATAAACTCAGTACCTCATGAAAAATCTGATTCATTCAAATCCCTAAGTGCCACTCACTCATCAGCTGGGTCTTTGAGACTTAGCAGTTAATCTTAGTACCTGAATATTTTAATTGAAGCAAAAAATGGAAAGAGGGGAAAGATGAGGAGGGTGAAAAAATTCCTACATGAGCTGTTTACCACAATGTAGGCAAAAGTTTCTGAGGGTTTTGTTAATCAGAAAGAATCCTATACATCCTTGCACATGAATTCAGTAGGGGGGGGCAAGTGAGGAGCAATTGCAGCAGTAATAATATATCTCAAACTTATCACTACATTTTTGCATCATCTGTCTTCATTGTACAACTGGAGGAAAAAATCCAAAACAGGGTTTAATTTCTACCTCTACATACAATAAGTTACAAGTTTATTTATTTAAATAATTGTAAAACATCTTACATTTTTTAAAGAGGTTAAACTATAAGCAAATACACACATACACCAAAGTTCCATCATTCATGTCAGTTTGTCCTAGAAATTCTTTCATGCTGGTACCCTGTTTTGTTGAATTGTTTTTCTGCATAAACTAAATCGATATCTGAAAGGCTCCATAGAAAATAGAAACTTCAACTTTTTTACCCCTACAAAGTAAAACAAATTGTATCCAAAATATCAACCTTGAATCATTTTGCCAATTTCTTTTTTTCCTTTGAATATTTTACAAATCTTAGGAAGGTTTTCGTGTCTTCCAGGAAAGACTTTGCATTTCTAATTCCATTCTGCCAACTCTTGTTCATCCTGGCTCTTGCTGATTCTTCGTTCCCAATGTTTGAGGAGTTGATGTGGTTGTGTCAGAAATATGAAACAGGTAAATGATGCAGACTTCTATCTCGTCCAATCCATAAAAAATGTTCCTTTTTTTTCCTGGGCCTGGCTTTTCCCCAAAAAAGAGCTTTTAGTGCTATTTTTTTCTTTTTAGTGGTCCATCACAATAAGTAGTTTTGTGCTGTAAAAGAAAAATGAAAAAAAAAAGGAGGAAAAAAGGGAAGAGGGAGGGAGAGCTGCAAAGCTGCCCCTTCCTTACATCGGGGGAATGACAAGACCAGTCATGGCTGAAAAAGAAAAGTGAAAAAGATGAAATTGTGACAAAATGTTATGGAACAAAATCTATTTGAGCCCTTCACCCTCCTGTGAGCAGTCAGGAATCACAGGAAGGGCCTGATCTGAGGTCACATTAGAGTTTTTTGTGTCTTTAAATCTTTTGGTGCTGTGGTGAGATCTGTGAGGACTGACTGTGACACAGGCAATGGGCAAAGGGCTGCTCCAGGGTAAAAAGGAATAAATTTCTTCCTGTGAGGGTGGGGAGGGGCTGGGATGGAATTCCCAGGGAGCTGTGGCTGCCCCTGGATCCCTGGCAGTGCCCAAGGCCAGGCTGGAGCCCCCTGGGACAGTGGGAGGTGTCCCTGCCATGGCAGGGGTGGCACTGGGTGGGATTTAAGTCCCTTCCCAAACCACTCCGTGGTTTTCTGATTCTGTGAAAAGCCTACACCCACCAGGGTTATTAAATGGATGGAAAAGGGAGAGGATTAATTCAATTCATGTGTGTGAATTGCAGAAAAACCTTCCCGTTTTTGGGTTCTTATCTCTGGAGAGAAGTCCTTGGAGGTGGACATTGCTCAGAACTGTCCCCAAATTCAGACTTCCCAAGCGGAACACTCAAAACCATCCTCAAAACCCAAAACTGAGCAGGGTCTGTGCTCCCTACCCACTCAGCTTGGAAGGGCTGGGAGCAGGGAAAGGTGTGGAAGCAAAGAGAGCTCCCCTGTGCTCCTGACAAGACCAAAGCAGGGAATTCCAAGCCCTGGGTTTGCCAGTCTGGTTCCAGTGGAAACGGCCTCACATCCTCACTGTGCTTCCCCCAGTGTCTGAGTCACTGCAGCCCTACCTGGCACCTTCCCACAACACTGGGTTTATTAATTATAAGTAAATTAATTATTAGTCACCCTCCTGCCTTTAATTGCAGCTGCACTCCTGTAACCACCAGCAGCAGCATTTGGAGCTGCCTGGGACTGGTGCTGTTCCTGAGGTTTGGGGGTAAGTTGAGTTTGGATGTATTTATATAACAAATGAGTCGGTCATGTTTTCAAAGGAGCCTCGCTGCAGTGCAGGGTCCTAATCCTGCAAAGATTTGTGTTCACTGCAATTTGGGGAATTATTGGTGTGTTTAAAGGCCCGTCCTACTGAGAATTCATTTCACCCTTTCCTTGAGAGGGTTTAAAAAAGTGCTTTGGGCAAGTTCCTGAGCTAACACAAGTCTGTTACTGGAGCTGTGTTTTTAAACAACTGTGGATGTGGTCTGTGATTTAATACAATAGGAAAATAAATATTTTTATATTTTCTTACTGACTGGGGCTAAAGTCCCTGCCAATTTTAGCAGATAGCTGAAAGGGAAAGTGAAACTCAACAGCCTGAAGTCAAACAGATACCTTTTGTAATTGCTTTGGAATTTGCTTCATATTTTCAATCCTAAATAAAACAGGTAAACACTTTCATGCCTGTTTTTGGGATATGTGTGAGTGCATTAGAAGAGAGATTTTCTGATGACACCAAGGGAGCTGCTCCATTCCTTCTCCTCACCCCCAAACCCCAAAACTAATCCTGCTGGAGGTGTCCCAGAGTGACATGGAGAGCTGGCTATTGACCCCGTACCTGCCTCTCTGTCCCTAGAAAGGAAAACTTGATTTAGCCTTGGATTTGTGCCCTGCTCCAGGCTCTACTGGGCTGGAGGAGGAGGTGAGCTCGTGCCCTCTGTGCTGGCTCCATTGTTTTGCGGAGAAAAGAAGAAAACCCCACAACTTTGTAGAAGTTGTAAAGCTTGGTATGTTTATTACAGCGCTGGACACATGCGGAGATTGCTCTCCTCAAAAAAGGCATGTGTGCCTCTGAGAACTTCAGGTCCCTTTTTATCTCTCTCTCAAATACATATGCATACAGTTTCACAATAGGTTCATACATATTCATTTTTATGGGTTTTGTGTGATTTTTACTACTAGTTCCTTTTTATCAGAAAGAATTCTGAGGTCAGGTTGGTTTGCCCTTACAGCAGTCCCTGTAACTCTCTATCATCTTCTGTCTCCCCTCCTTTATCTCTGTCCTTCGCTGAAATAACTTCACTGAGCTTAGGCCTTGCAGTCAGGCTAAATAACTATGGTTTCTAACCACAGACTCAACTCAGAAATGTACATTTCACCTAAATTAAAATGGATTTCTATTCTGGAAAAATTTCACTTTGCTTCACTATCCCATAGGTGTCCCCGGGGAGCAGATCCTTGTGCTCCAGGCTGCCTGCAGGAGTTTAAAGTGTCTAAAGTCTGAGGTGTCCTGCCTGGGTCTTTGCCTGAAGCAAATAAAGGAGCACCTGCACAGACAGTGCCTGGCTCGTCCCCATCCAGGATGACCTTTCCTGGCTGTGGGATGTCTGGGCACAGCTGGAGGACAGCCTAGTTTCAGCCATTCAGGAACTGGTGCCAGTGTTGCTTCAGCTCTCCTCCCAAGAGAGCCAGTCCATGATGGCATAAAAGCTTTTTTGTGATGCTATTTTTATTAACAGTATTTTTGCTTTTTTTAATCAAGGAAAACTTCCAGCAAAGCAAAGCAAACCTAAAACCTGAGTTTCTGCCATGTCTCTTCAAAGATATTTTGAGAAAACTTGTCAATGCATCATTTTGGGAAGTTGCTTAGCTTTAAATGAAAGCCCGTTTTTTACTGTAGGATTAGAGATATTAATAATAAATAATGTATGTATTGGAATGGACAGGTTTCCAGAGAAGCTGTGGCTTCTCCATCCCTGGAAGTGTCCAAGGCCAAGTTGGATGGGGCTTGGAGCAGCCTGGCATAGGGGAAGGTGTCCTTGCCGTGGCAGGAAGTGGGACTGGATGGGTTTTTATGTCCCTCCCAAATGATCCTGGGATTTTGTGATTCCACAATCTGATTTAGCAAATTCTATAACACAGAAAATACAGGCAAAGCCTGATTTGTGTCACTGGCATTTCATTCTCAGCCTCACCTCCTCCTGCAACAAAGAATGAGTTGGTGGAGGAATATTGGCTGGAATTCTCACCTGGTTTTCCCCAGCTCATCTCTCAGCTTCTCTCTCTTTTCACACACCCTGCTCTGCCCATTTCCACCCCACCTCCACTCCCCATTGGGGCTGCACTGTCAAAAGCCTATTCCCAGCCTGGATCGCTTTTTATTGAATGTTTGGGAGGTTTGGATTAAGGTCTTACACTGCTAGCAAAGCTGTAATTATTTTTGCCTGTATTACTATATATTGAATCGATGTAACTTTTCAATAAAGGTGGTTCAATGCAGGACACTCCCTGATGAGTTGGGAATATAGCAACCACCAGTCATTATCCCAGAGGGTCTTTTTTTTTTCTCTTGGAGGGAAATGGAAAAAGAATTAGAGATGAGCCTTATTGTATTAACCTTGACAGCTTGCAATTATCAACTGAAACACTTGATTAAAATTGTCACAAGGTTGGAGAATTTTTTTATAAATAAATAATCAAAGATGGGTAGCACCCAGATGATCTGGTGATAGGCACCTTTAATGGGCGTAATTAATAATGATCATAAACCTGGTGAGTACAAGTGGCCTTTGGAAAACTGTCTTGGAGTGGAAAAGGACTCACTGCAATTTAAACGTGAGAGCTGGGAAGGGAATTAGTGCTGAACTCCAGGATCATGGAATGGTTTGGGTTAGGAGGGACATTGCAGCTGATCTCACCCAGCCCCTGCCATGGCAGGAACACCTCCCACTGTCCCAGGCTGCTCCAACCTGGCCTTGGGCGCTTCCAGGGCTGGGGCAGCCACAGCTGCTCTGGGAATTCCACCCAAGCTCCTTCCCGCCCTCACAGGGAGCAAATCCTCCTAAAATGCATTCATGGGGAAAAAACACTCCCTGTAAACTGCTGGAATAATGGGAATGCAAATCTGAGGATGAGGATTGCCCAACTGCTTCTGCTTAGATTTGTTTTAATCCAGGCTTAAATACTGCTGTGGTTAACATATATGGAAGCTCTAATCTAGATTTTCATTGCTGCCTGTAAGGAGAGTGGCATGCTCTGAGGGGGCTGGTGAAGGAGAAGAAGAAGATGAAGAAGATGAAGAAGAAGAAGAAGAAGAAGAAGAAGAAGAAGAAGAAGAAGAAGAAGAAGAAGAAGAAGACAGGAGAAGGAGAAGGAGAAGGAGAAGGAGAAGGAGAAGGAGAAGGAGAAGGAGAAGGAGAAGGAGGAGGAGGAGGAGGAGAAGAAGAAGAAGAAGGAGAAGAAGAAGAAGAAGAAGACAAAGAAGAAAAAGAAGAAGTAGAAGACGAAGAAGATAGAAGGAGAAGGAGAAAGAGAAGAAGATTATCATCCTCTAAATGGAGATATATAATTCTATAATATATCTACTATTATGATATATTGAGGAGATGTTTTCCACATGTTATGGGTGGGAAAATTCAGGGTTAATGGAATTTGGAAAGGGGCCTGCACATATTCACTGCTTGCCCTGTGCTTTTGCTATTCTCTCTCCACCAGCATTTTTGGATACCTAAGTTTGATAAATAAGTAAATAAATCCTAAATTCCATGCCCAGCACACCTATCCCTGGTTTCCAGCCCCAGGGGGGGCATGGCAGAGGGCATTATCCATCTCCCACTGCCTCAGTCCAGGCAAGAAGCCTCTTTGGGAGCCTCCTGTTGACTTTTTGGCCACATCTGTCTGTCAGCACTGTGGGAACGTTAATTTGGATATCAGGCTGTGTGTACCTGGATCTTTTCCAAAGCATGTGCTCCCCAGCTTGCATCAATTTAAATATTTCAGTTGGAATTTGCATCCATGGCTGAAAGAGTTCAATAGTTACCAAGACCTGGTGTAACAAACCTTGTTTCTGCTTGCTGTGTCAGTGACCAGTCCTGCTTTATTGGATACTTAAATTTATGAGTATAATTATGTTTGTGTTGATGTACAGGTAGAAATCCCACAAAGAAAGGGATGTGGTTAATAAATTCTGTATCTATTTATCTCTGATTTTACTAATTCAGCAATTATTCACAACCTTAACTCATAGATTAATCCTGACCAGCTCAGGACTGGACTTTGGTCAGGAGAAATGGATGGATGTCAGGTTTTAGCTTTGAGATTTTGTTATATTTAATATTAAAGCTCAATTTTTAGAATCTCTCATTGATTACTGATTTATAGACTGGATAAAATATGTTGTGAACACCAAATGGCATGGATGGCACCAGCTGATCTCCAGTACTTTATTTCTTTATAGGTTGAAAGAGAGATAAACTCTTTCTAAGCAGAGCATTGAGTGTTACCTTAAGGAAAATTATTAATTTAAATATTTCAGTAATTTCTTAATCTGTCCTTTTTCGTCTCCCAGAAGCAGCCTGAGTGGTTTTCTCTCTGATCTGTGTTTAGCACCACCTCAGGTAACTCCTTAGTATTTAGGCTTAATATTTAGGCCGTCTTTACATAACAGTTAGACAAGTTTAAAGCAGACTTAAATCTGTGCATTCACATGGTGAGATCAATGGATCTAGCCATTCATGGGAAGAAAATTACCTTAGGAAAGAGTGGATTTTCTTGTAATTGAGGCAGGGGAAGAAGCTGTTTCAGAATTCTCTGAGTTAGCTCTTAAAAATGTTACTGTTTTTGTTCAGCACACTTAGAATTTCCTTATAACGTACAATAATCACACTTTCTGCAAGTTCCTGTGGCCCAGCTAAGGGTTTCTATCACACCCAGCCAAACAGGTGCTGTTTGTGGGGCTCATTTGGAATTACCACTGGCTCTTGGCACGGCTCAATTCCCAGAGCTGTGTTTCCTAGGCTATCTCCAGTGAAGTCTGAAGGAGCCAGATGACTTCCCAGGCCCAATAAAGGCATTTTTTATGGAGACTTGGAGCATATTTATGTGCTGCACACACCCCCCCAGCCTGTTAAAAGCAAGAATTCGGTACAGGTTTCCATTCTTATCTTACTGCTCACATTTGTTTCACAGATCACCTTTAAAAGGGCTGTAAATGGGCTGTGGGGCTCAATTCCCGGGCTGAGCCTAAACCTTGCAGCAGGTTTGTATTCTGGACAGAGCTGGGGATTAACTCTGCTCTGTTGAACAGCTCCCCCAAGCCTGAGGAGAAGTCATTCCCCACAAAAGAGCTGATATTCCCCTATATTCCAGGGAAAGGTGTCCCTGCTTTGCTGGGGGTCGGAACTGGATCTTTGAGGTCCTTTCCCAGCCCAAACCATTCTGGGGTTGAAACTCATTGGGTCAGAACCTTCCTGTGAAAATCAGTGCCTGGCCCTTGCTCTAAAGCCAAAAGCTTGGATAGATCCTCTAATCCAGCTGGGCTGGGGCAGGTTTTCACTCCTGAGCCCTGTGGTAGCCACATGATGGCACTCAGGGTGGTGGCTGGTGGCACTCAGGGTGGTGGCTGGTGGCACTCAGTGGTGGCTGGTGACACTTGGGTGGTTTTCCCAATGGAAGCTTTGGTGGGAATGAACAGGAGCACATCCCACTGTGATGGGAATGAACAGGAGCACATCCCACTGTGGTGGGAATGAACAGGAGCACATTTCACTTTGTTGGGAATGAACAGGAGCACATTTCACTGATGGGGATGAACAGGAGCACATCCCACTTTGGTATGAGTGAACAGGAGCCCATCCCACTTTGACATGAGTGAACAGGAGCACATCCCACTGATGAGGATGGGCAGGAGCACATCCCACTTTGGTATGAGTGAACAGGAGCCCATCCCACTTTGACATGAGTGAACAGGAGCCCATCCCACTTTGGTAGGAGTGAACAGGAGCCCATCCCACTTTGACATGAGTGAACAGGAGCACATCCCACTGATGAGGATGAGCAGGAGCACATCCCACTTTGGTATGAGTGAACAGGAGCCCATCCCACTTTGGTAGGAGTGAACAGGAGCACATCCCACTTTGGTAGGAGTGAACAGGAGCCCATCCCACTTTGGTAGGAGTGAACAGGAGCCGATCCCACTTTGACATGAGTGAACAGGAGCACATCCCACTGATGGGGATGAGCAGGAGCACATCCCACTTTGGTAGGAGTGAACAGGAGCCGATCGCACTTTGGTAGGAATGAACAGGAGCCCTTTGCTCACCTCTGAAGCCGTTCCCGTTGCCGCTGGAGCAGGCAGGGGAGGGAGAGCCCTGGGGTCTGATGACAGGAGCAAAGGCACTCTTCTGTTTGACTGCAGGGAACACCGAGGAGGAGAACGGGAGGATGGAAGAAGTGCTGGAGGAGCCGACTGTTGGACTTGAAGACATCACTGCCAAAGGGAGAAAAGGAATTTCTTGTCAGAAAATCGGTAAAACTGTTTGAAGAATCCATTGTGTGATTCCGTGTTTTACCTCTCAAAGGAGGTCACATTCTCTCAGTGAGTAAAATTACAGTAAGTCTGAAGTAGAGAGGGACCTAAACTGAATAGTTCAGAAAAATAAGTGCTTAATTATTTCAAAGTTAGGGGTGAGGGTGCCAGAAAATTGAAAATCATCAAGGGAAAAACAGTCAATAGGAACTGTTATGTCCTGCCCACTCAGTGTCCTCGGAATTTGGAAAGGTTGGCAAATCCTGAGTCTTCTCCAGTTTATTAAAAATTAATTTCCCTTGGTTTCAAGCTGCTGCTTAGATTTTATTCTAAACTGGCTACTTTTTAATGAAGTGCCTTGCAATAAAAAAGCCCCTTTCTATGTCCAATAACTTGTCCAGGAACTGTTTGCTGAGCTTCCAGAACAATATCAGCCATTCCTCAGCAAAAAGAGGAATAAATAACAATATTTCCTGTGAATTCCCAGGTCTCTTGGTAGTATTAGTTTGAAAGCACAGTAACACAAGAGAGACCTGGTCCTTTCCTTATGGAAAGCTCCAGAAGAGGGGATAATAATAATAATAATAATAATAATAATAATAATAATAGTAGGAAGAAGAAGAAGAAGAAGAAGAAGAAGAAGAAGAAGAAGAAGAAGAAGTTTAGCTCTTCATCCTGTTTATATAAATATACCTATATAACATATATATAATTATTTACTTACACCATAGCTGGTGGTGTATACATTTTTTTTGTTGTTGTTTTTCACATATTCCCTAGACAAAGGGATATCAAGGTATGGAAGGAAAAGTGGCTGTTCATAGTAAAATAAGCAGAAATTGAGAGATTAATTCTATTATATGTTATCTTTCTGGTTATGAAGTTAATATGGTTTCACAGGAAATTAATCCCCAATTCGGCTCTCAGGTATTGATAATGCTTTCAAACTCATAAAGATTATTTCAGAGTGGTTTTTACCCAGGATTTGCCAAGTCTCTGTGCTAAAAGCAGTGGCTACTCCCTTAATAAAGCTGTAAATTGCACCTCATTTCCCATAGTGGCTTTGCTACTGAGGAATCTGAATAAGGATTAAAAAAAGGAGGAAAATAAAGTTCAACACTCAGAAAATGGGAGCTTTTTCTCGTTGGGACCTAAGACACCCAACCCTAAAGAGAGCATTTGGCTGGGTGTGCCCTGATCCCTTTGGGGTTTCTGGGGCAGGGGGGAGCCTTTGGCTGTGTGCCCTGAACCATTTGGGGTTTCTGGGTTGCCTTTGGCTGGGTGTGCCCTGATCCCTTTGGGGTTTCTGGGTTGCCTGTGGCTGGGTGTGCCCTGATCCCTTTGGGGTTTCTGGGTTGCCTGTGGCTGGGTGTGCCCTGATCCCTTTGGGGTTTCTGGGTTGCCTTTGGCTGGGTGTGCCCTGATCCCTCTGGGGTTTCTGTGGCAGGGGGTCCCTTTGGCTGTGTTCCCTGCTCCCTTTGGGGTTTCTGGAGCAGGAGGGAGCCTTTGGCTGTGTGTTCTGCTCCCTTTGGTGTTTCTGTGGCAGGGGGGTCCCTTTGGCTGTCTGTCCTGCTCCCTTTGGGGTTTCTGTGGCAGGGGGGTCCCTTTGGCTGTGTTCCCCGCTCCCTCTGGGGTCTCTGGGGCAGGGCACCCCTTTCAGGGTGCCAGGGCCGTACATCCGTAGGGCGAGCCGCTCGGGGAGCCGTTGATGAAGCCGGGCGAGCCGGGCACGCCCAGGTTGCCCATGGGCACGTTGCTGTAGCCGTTCATGCTGCTGCTGGACGTGCTGTAGCTGGACTGCTGCGGGGTGGAGCTGGACGAGTAGCCCCGGGGGGAGATGCTGCTGGTGTTGCGGATGTAACCTGCAAATAAAGCACGTTTCAGAACGCCTGAGTGGCTTAAAACTCCCTCCTGCACATCCCCTGCTTTAATAGATGCCATTGAAACCCAGGTTATTTAAAAGGTTTTGGCAACACCAATAAATTCAGTGGTTTTTCCTGCAGTTAAAGTTCTGAACCAACTTTTTGAAGTGATCCAATGTACATTTTCCCAATCAAATTTGATTTATTAATTCATTCAAAACCTGGACGACAGCGTATGTGCTTATATTTACCTGGGGTAGAATTTATAATATATGGGATTTTCTACCATTGAATGGGAGAGGTTTTACTCTTCAAATTATTGTTGAATTGTTAAATTACAGATAAATTACAGATAAAGCAAGTACATTACTAAGGGGAAATGATAACCCGTATAAAGTTTGTAGTTTAATTTTTAATTTCCTCTACTTGGGAGAAAGAATAAACTGGATAAGAAAAACCCACTTTTGTTGTATTACAAAATGCTATCAAATATTTGAGAAACAAAATTTAGCCATTTTTAATCCAGAAAGAGAGTTTAAAATGATAGCTACCAGCATAAAAGGATAAAATCAGTATTCCAGCTGCAGGAGGGTCTTTCCATAGAAAAAGCTTTCATTAAAGAGATTGATACAATAATTACATTAAGAGTAGTCACTGTTCAGATATAATATTTAGATATATCAAGTCAGGTAATTTCTGCTCATTTACATTATGAGGTTCTAATTCAGCGCTGGTAAGACTTTGAAAAAAATGAGCAAAATTATCTTCATGATGGATTTTAACTGGACAGATAGAAAATTAACTTTAAACGACCTGGGTTTGCTGCCTTAGAGTGTTAAACACAGCCAGTTATTGAGATCAACCACAGACTGTGTGTGATAAAAATCAAAATGTTCAGGACACAGAAAAATTGATAATTCTTTCAATGAAAGTACTTTCAAGAAAATTCTTTCAGTGTTGATACATTGTTTTATGGGTTGCTTTCCTCACAATCAATAGTGTATCTGGACTAAGTGTAATACATACAACATGTGAATGTTGGTAAAATTAACACTGAAGCAGCTGCCTTAAAAACAAAAAACAAGAGGAACATTTCCCACCTCTGTGTGAGGTTTTTTTCCAGCTGCTGCCATTGCTATTTGTGAAAACAGAGATATAATAAAAAATATTGATATTTTAAGGGGGACAGGGAGGGAATTCAGGGGCAAGTTGGTTTTGAAAGTAATCAAAAATTATTTCAGATAAGACACAGGGGCAGTACCACCCTTTGGAATGCCCAGTGTGGGAATCTATAAAATCAGAGGGTTTTGGGAAATCTTTTTAGGTGAACTGAGAAGGGGAATTGTGGGAATCCATAAAATCAGAGAGTTTTGGGAAAGCTGCAGAAGGCAGCCTCAGAGACAGCAGAACTGTGATCAGAGCCAAGCAGTAGCCATGGGATTGGTCAGCAGAAAAATTATGTAAAAAGTAGAAAAGTAAAGACAAATAGAACAATGGTCTGTGTACTAACACTTGTCTAGAATTACTCCCTAAGCTACAGAAAAGTTCATCTAGTGAGATTTTAGGAAGTTCTAAGCTTAATAATGGAGCTCTGTGCATTGTGTTTGAAGGCTTACAAGCAGGTATTGTATTTGAAATAAGCAAGCATTGTTTTAACCACAGGTACCTGTGCTTATAGTGATTGGATACAACTACTGTCAATGTGCTTTTGCTTTGTGTGATTGGTCAAAAAACTTTTAAAGTGAGTTGTAGCATTAAGTTCTTTGTCTGCTGCTGGGGATGTGAGCTGGTGGCACCTTCCCATTGTCATAACCATGGAATGAGGCTGATGCTGGAAAATACAACAGCTTGGGAGGCATCCCACAGCAGCCCCGTCCTGCTGGGGATCTGTGCACAGACCCCCAGCCAGCAATGCCCAGAGTTAAAGGCACCATTGGGCGCAGGGAGAGGTTGGAAATCAGATCCGGGAAAAGAGATTGGGAAGGAGACTGGGTTGGAGTTTCCAGCTCCAGGAACGCTCCGGGGCTCACCCTGGTTGTTGCCCTGCGCTGACTCGGAGATGCTGACGCCCAGCTGGCTGCCGTAGGAGTTGATGCCCATCATGGAGCTGTGGGCAGGGGAGCTGGGCAGCGCGGGGATCTGCGCGGGGTTGCGGGGCACGCTGTACAGCGCCTCGGCGATGTCGGCCGCGCGCTTCAGGATCAGCTCCTGCAAGGAAACAGCGGGGCACAGCTCAGGCAGGAACGGGGCAACGGGAACCCCCCAGAAACCTCCCAGGAACCCCCCAGGAACGTCCTGGGAACCTCCCAGGAACCTCCTGGGAACCCCCCGGAACCCCCCGGAACCCCTCGGGAATCCCCCAGGAACCTCCCAGGAACCCCCCAGGAACGTCCTGGGAACCCCCCAGGAACATCCTGGGAACCTCCTGGGAACCCTCCAGGAACCCCCCAGGAATATCCTGGGAACTTCCCAGGAACCCCTCAGGAACCCTCCAGGAACTCTCCAGGAACCCTCCAAGAACCCCCCAGGAACCCTTCAGAAACTCTCCAGGACCCCCTCAGGAACCCCTCGGGACCCCCCCAGGAACCCCCCAGGAACCCCCTCGGGAACCCCCTGGGAACCCCTCCCAGGAACCCCCATGAACCCCCCGGGAACTCCCCGGGGTCGGCTGCACCCCCACCCCTGGCAGCCTGACCTGGTTGTTGTGAGGTGTCCCGTACAGGGCCTCGACCAGGTCAGCAGCTCTTTTCAGCAACATCTCCTGTGGGGCACAGGGAAAGAGGTGTTGTAAAGGCAAAGATAGCTCTGGTCAATAAAATGAAGTAAAATAAATATATAATAAATAAAGAAAATAAATTAAAAAATAAAATAAATAAATTGTATAAAAAATGAAATAAAAACATATAAATAAAAGAACAATAAAAATAAGTATATAACAAATAAAAATTACAATTATTAAATAAAAGTATATAAATAACAATAAAAATAAACAAGAAAATAAAAATAAATACAAAATACAATTAATTAAATAAATATGCAATGAATAAAATACAAACAAATAACTAATTGCAATAAACACAATAAAATGGTAAAATAAAATAGAACGGGAAAATAAATAAAATAGTAAATTAAATAAGACAGAATAGACTAGCCTAAAATAAATAAATACAATAAATAGACGAATGGAATGGAATGGAATGGAATAGAATAGAATAGAATAGAATAGAATAGAATAGAATAGAATAGAATAGAATAGAATAGAATACAATAGTTAAATAAATAAAACCATGAGCAAGTATTCTCTCAAGTGACTCCAGTATTTGTGTGTGGTCACTCTGAAGCCCAGGTGCGTTCAGGTGCTGTGTTCAGGTGTTATTTGCCAGGTCCCTGAGGGGTTTAAGCCCTCCCAGTGGGTCAGAGCAGCCCCCCAAAGCACGAGTCCCTTCGGAGCCCGCGGGAGCCGATCCCTGGCGCGGCCGTGCCGAGTGCGGGGCTGCTCCGTGACCCGGAGCTCTCCAGAGTCCTGAACCTGCTGCACCTCAGCAGCGCCAGAAACAGAGACAAACCCCAGACGTCCCCGCTCCCCCGGGGATTTCAATGGATACCTTGGCATGGACACATGAACGTGTGTGGGATTGAGTGCATCCCTTTGCATGGACACACAAACGTGCGTAGGATTCAGTGCATCCCTTTGCATGGACACATGAACATGTGCAGGATTCAGTGCATCCCTTTGCATGGACTCACAAACGTGTGTAGGATTCAGTGCATCCCTTTGCATGGATTCATTAATGTGTGTAGGATTCAGTGCATCCCTTTGCATGGACTCACAAACGTGTGCAGGATTCAGTGCATCCCTTTGCATGGACTCACAAACGTGTGCAGGATTCAGTGCATCCCTTTGCATGGATTCATTAATGTGTGTAGGATTCAGTGCATCCCTTTGCATGGACTCACAAACGTGCGTAGGATTCAGTGCATCCCTTTGCATGGACACATGAACATGTGCAGGATTCAGTGCATCCCTTTGCATGGACTCACAAATGTGTGTAGGATTCAGTGCATCCCTTTGCATGGACTCACAAATGTGTGTAGGATTCAGCACATCCCTTTAGATGGACACAGCCTTTGGGCTCAGGGATGTGCCACCAGGGATAGGGCAGAGCACAAGGACAATGAACTGGGAACATTCACTGAATTCAGTTTAGCAGCAAAATTACACAGAAACCGTTTGAACTCTAACATACAAAAATCACTGTGGGTTCTACCCAGTCCCATTCTTGCCAGATTTACAACTAATTGGTGAATTCTGATGTGATTGTAATTTAAGATATAATTGTATCTCTTTTATGAATTAGAAGTGAGAAAAACACATTTGGTGGGCTGAATGAAATGCTTAAAATTATTTTACCTTAGCTAACCTTTCAGGGTCCCCAGGATGTCTTGGGATGACCTTCTGCAGTCTTTGGAAGCCGTAATCTATGGTAGGTTCATTTAAAGCTGGAAGGAAAACATCAAACCCCACCACATTATATGACTGTATCTAAACATATATTTTTATATGGTTCTGTCCCAACAGGGCAACAAAGAAATCACGACTTCTGCACTTAAAACTGCTCCTATCTCCCTGGTTGCCTTCTCATCCTCTATCAAGGGCTGAATGAATAATTTGCAGGATGCAGCAGCATTGTCACAAAATACTCCTTTGAGGATGAATGTTTCACTCTGGACAAAACCATGACAGCAATAAAGCAAATTATGAGACAAATACACACTAGAACAGGTCTTCTCCTGCTGGTTACAGAGCCAAAATCAGACAGCCCTGTTTGCTCCTCTAATAAACACATTCCACACACGCCCCCAATGTTCTGCAGTCCTGAAGTAGGGCACAGCTATTCATTAGACACATTCCCTTCCCCACTTGTGTGTTCTGCATACGCTGCCACTTCCCTGTAATGATCTTAATCTCTGGTGGATAAACCAGGATATTTTGACCCAGATCCTCAGTTAGCAATAGCTGGCAGAGCCCTACTGGCATCGCTGATGATTTCAGAAAACTTCAGACACTTTCCTAGTCTCTGCTAGGAAACAGCAGCAATAATACTGAGATTTCTGATTGTTCAAACTCCAATTTAAATTGGTGCCGAACCCAAAAGTCAGCTTGCAGCATTCTGTGTGCTCAGGCTCTGCCTCCAACACCTCAGCAGTGCTGCTGAGCACCAGCACAGTTACAGGGATGATTTTCTTTGAATTCCCTCATTCTTCAGAATGCACATTTAATACAAATGACACATTCATGCTGAGGATTCTGTGAAGAATTTCATGACACATTTAATAAGTAACATATGTAAGTCCTTTAGCACTACCCTCAGTCACTACCCTGAGGCTTAGACTTTCCTGTACCATTTGTGGTTCTTTTGGGAGGGAAAAAAAATCTTTTTTTAAAATAACTGGCACTGGCACAGCTGAAAACCCCTGATTACAAGAGATGCTGATGGTTCTGACTGAATGATCCAAAGTATCCTGAGCACCTCACAGGAGAACACAGGAGCTCCAGGAGAAGAACCCAGAGCGTGAGACAGACTTTTATACTGATCCAGGTTCCCTGTTTATCCCTGTTCCCTGTTTGTCCCTGTCTGCCTTTGGTGTAACATCATGAAGGTAAAAGGTCACATTCTCCACTGAGATACATTTTATATTTACTTTTTATTAAATAATTATGGCATGGCATGAAGTTTAAATATTACAGGAGATAATCAAGTGGGAATTGAGCAGAGAAAACCCAGACCTGAGAATTTAGTCTTGGCTATACTTAGAATGTCTTTGCTCTCCACTGGGAGCCATTCTGGTTTGCTCAAGGAGTTTAATAATACACATTTCAACAGCCAAAGAATCTACATCCCGTTTGGGAAGATGAGTTTTTGGGGGGTGGGCTATTTGGCCAATAATCCTCAGAATTAGAGGCCAATTCTCTCAAGAGCCTAAACATCATTATGTGGCATTTCTCTTCTTGATCACAAATCTATTCATTTAAGTGATATATCTAAAGCTAAAGAAATGTGAAATATATAGGAATTCAAACATGTGAAATATATAGGGATTCAAATATATATAAAGTTACTAAAAATAGCTAGTGGGAATATGCAAAATGCTAATTCAGGAAGAAGAAGCTGGCTATTATTCAACAAACATTTTTCCAATGGATTGACATGGACAGTTTCATCCTGATAGATCAACAGCAGCAAATCATTTCCCAACAATGCTGAATTGTTCACAGGACTCAGCCCTCCTGAATCAATGTGTACATTATGTCTTTCAGCACAAAGGTGTTCTGTACAGCCTGCAACAAAATTGCCCACTACTGGTTTTACTCATTAATGGAACAAAAATATCTCTGTTGTGAAATCCTGTGAAAAACCAGTACCAAGTATTTGGAGGAGTAAATTGCACCTTCCCAAGTGGAGGCCAAAGATGAAGAATCCACCAGCAAGTTTAAGCAGCTTCCCAACAATTCTGCTTCCACTGAGGAAAGAGCTGCTGGGTCAGGAGTGATTTATCTGTGTGTTACATAGAAATATGCTGGAATTATGTCCAAATGCTTTGGGGTTCATGGATTCAGAAACCATAAAGGGGTTTGACACACAAGCAGGCTGTTCATTGTTTCCTAGAAATCAGATCTCTGAAATGAAACCCCTCAGAAAATGGACTCAAGTCCAAAATCCCATTGGCAAACCTCAAATCCAGAGTTTCAGGCTTAAGGGGTCTAACTTCCCAAAACAGTTTAAAAAACTGGGCATGACATGATATAATTTATGCACAAAAAGAGAAGGCATCTAGGGAATAAGCTAAATTATCAGTGAGCCTGTAAACCTCTCCCTAGCAAAACTGTTTTAACAACAGTATAAGAGTAAGGATGGATCTAAATGTGTCACCAACTACCTGACTTTGTTTATGTGAGGCTCAGAGTCTGGACAGTGCTCCCTCTTTGATGTTCTTTACCCCTCAAAACCTGTGTTTTTACCTTAAACACATATTCTGACTTGCTGGGATAGGAGGGGAAGGAGAATTCTCACAGCTGAGCGAGTTCTTCCGTGGCCCGTGGCTGCAGGGCTGACACTGCAAGGGGTCACTGTCCCACCAGCCATCCCAGCACATCAGATGCTGCAGGAGGAGGGTGCAGATCGACCCTGAGTGGAGCAGCCTCTGCTGGCCTCACCCTGGCAGATCTGGGAAAGGGCCACGTCCAAGGTTGTCACAGACATCTTCTCATTAAAATCCTTTCTTTAGGATTTTTCCCCCTTCTGAGAAGCTGTGGCCTCAGCAGCAAAATGCAAACAATGGTTATCTGCTGCTGTGGAATGCAACAGGTGCATCTGGGATTGGTCTCGGGTGGATGTTTGGATTTACTGACCACTCACGGCAGAGCTGGGTCTCGCTCTCTGCTGAGACACAGACCTTTGTTATTCATTCCTTTTCTATTCTTAGCTTAGCTAGCCTTCAGAGAACTTTTCTCTCTATTCCTTTTAGTATAGTCATAATGTAATATATATCATAAAATAATAAATCAAGCCTTCTGAACATGAGGTCAGCATTCTTCATCCTGCAACCCTTGTGACCGCTGTGACACAAGGGCCTCAGCACAGCTCTGCAGCTCACCTTGGACTCACCCCACAAAGCACAGCACAGGGAAAACAGGAGAATCAAATCAAAGTCTGGATATCTCTAGAAATATCCTGAACCCATAAAGCTGTGGCAGAAGGAGAACAGTTTTTGCAGTGGGCTGCCCAACCTTTAAGGTGTTAACAGAGAAAAGGCACCTGTGGCACCAAAGTTTGAATCATGGAATGGTTTGGGTTGGAAGGGACCTTAAAAATCCTCTTGTTCTACCATGCTGCCATGGGCAGTCACACCTTCCACTTGTCCTGGATGCTCCAAGCCCTGTCCAACCTGGCATTGGACAGGGATGGGGCAGGCACAGCTGCTCTGGGCAACCTGTGCCAGGTCCTCACCACTCCACTGGGAGGAATTTCTTCAGTAAATCTCACCTAAATTTCCCCTCTTTCAGTTTGAACCCATTACTCCTTGTCCTGTCACTACAGACCTTGATGAAAGGTCCCCCTCTGGTTTTCCTGTCAGCCCCCTCAGATCCTGGAATTCTCTGTTTCCCCATGTCTTTCACAGGCTAAAGCAGTGACAGCAGGAAATGCTCTGTCACCTCAGCTTTTTCTGTCCAAGGGAACTCACTCTTCCAATTTATGGAGCTCTCTGCATCCTTGTAAATGTTGTTTCTCACAAGCAGAAAACAAGAGCTCCAGTCTCCTTACAAGATTTAGCAAACCAGCACCTTCCCATCTCTGGATCCTGGCACAGAGGCTGATACAGCACAACCCAGAGCCCAGCCTCTCCCACAGATAATTTTATATTGCTTTGCTCTGACAAGGTAACCCCTGGAGGATTTCTGCTCAGCAAGGAAAATTATGTTCCAAATCTCCCTGATATACACATTTCCAGGTTAGCATCTCTGTGACAAAGTAAATGCAGAGCTGTGATCAAAGCTGAACTAGGAAAGCCTACAAGACGTGCCCTCAGCTGGCATAAACTGGTGTGTTATTAAAGCCAAGGGAACTATAATGGAACCACTTACAGCAGCAGAGAATTTGAATTTGTGTCGTATTAAAAGCAGAAGATGAGGCTACAGCAAGATTAGCAGCAGAGAACAAATGTCTTTTTATTCCAGGAGCAGCTGATGAAAGGAAAGCAATTCAGAACAGGGATGTGTGTGCAACCTGTATCCTCACCAGATGAAGGCACACGCAGGGAACAAGTGCTTGGGTGTGGTTGTGGGATATCATCCTGTTGAGATTTTTACCTCAGATGCTTTTAGGGAGGGTTTTGACCTCAGACCATGGTGGACAGCAGACTGAGGGGGGGCACCTTGTTGGGTGACAGTGGGAACTGTGAGTCCCTGGGAGCCAGCATGCTGACAGGACTGTCCTACATTGGCTCAGGTTTCCAGTTCTTTATGCCTGTTGGCTCAGGACCCTTTTCTGATAAGGTTCTGGGTTCACATTTGGGATGGGACCTTTGCCCTCAGATGCCCCCATGCCTGGCTGTGCTTGCCCTGCCCACAAGTCCATGGAATCTGCCTCTGTAACCTGTGGTTGTCACCTTTTGTTATTTTCACTATTAAAGTTTTATTTTCCAGGCTAATCCATTGCTCCCATTCCTCATTGTTAGCCAGCTTCTCCCAGCCAAGCCGAGCAAGGACATCACATTGAGCTTGCAGCTCCTTATGTGGTAATTTAAAAACAGGCTTTTCTCTCTCATTTGAAGTATTTCATCTCTTCCTTCAGCTGCTAAAGTTGGTTCAGCCACTGCCATTCCCCTCCAGCGAGCCATTTGTCTGGGCTTTTGCTCCACTCCCCAGCACATCGTTCCATGTCTACAGAACCCTGCTGGCTTCACTCTGACAGGGAGTTTTCCATGTGGGAACCTTATGGAAGAGTCCACACGTCCCATTTTGGTGAGGAGAGGAGGCTGATGGCTGGGCTGCAGCAGCCCTGAGTGAGAACACTTGGGAGTGGAAGCACTGAGAGCCCCAGAAGTGCAGCAGTGCCAGCCCAGCACTCTTTGCAGAAGCCCAACATTAAGACACGTTAGAGGACACAATGAGCTCCCACAACAGCCTCACTGTGCCAGTTAGATTTACCCTTGAAATGTGCAGCTAATTTTTATATTAATCTTTCCAACAGTTTCAAACAATCTTAGTGTGACTCCTTCCAAAAAAAAGAAAAATAAAAAAGAAAGAAAAGGTCAAATATAATCAGGCTGAATGTAAATATTTGGTTGTATAATCTGTAGGCAGACCCATGTTGTGACAGCAGTTGTGAAAAATATTAATGTGGAGTAAAAATGCCTTATGAAACCTCCTCCTTACACCCCCGTGTGTCACCACTGCCAGAGTGGCCTTGGACAAGCAACAGGGTAAATTAATTAACAAATTAATTAATTCAAACCAATACCAGTCACTGACACGGCTCCTGCAGCCCAAATCCCAGGCACCCACCTGTGTAAATGAACCTGCCTGGTGCTCCTTTGCAGAACTGTTTGGATTTGTAGGACAATGTCACCTCCACCACGCCGGGGATGTGCCGGGGCGGCGTCTGCACGCGGATGGCGTGAGGTGTGATCAGCTGGGAACGGCAACACGACAGCACCATCAGGGCTCTGCTCTATCCTTTCACTTCACCAGCAAATTACAGAAAAGTTTGGGTTGGGAGGACCCCAAAGACCATCCAGTCCCACCCCCAGTGAACACCTTTCTCTATCCCAGATTTCTCCAAGTCCTGTTCAACCTTGCACACTTCCAGGGATGCAGCAGTGACAGCCTCTCTGGGCTACCTGTACCAGAGCCTACCCTAAAAAATGTCATCCTCATTTCCAATTCTACCCTTGTTCACTTTAAAACCATTCCCCCTTGTCCTACCATCACAGGCCTCAGTAAAATCTCTTTTTAAAAAAATTATCACTATAGATCAGCAGAGGGATACACCTCGGTTAGATCCTCCCTTCCAGGGAGAGGATCACACATTTTAGGATGAATTGTCATCAAGAAACTTGTACTGTTAAGCCCATTGGTTAATTGATGGCTTATTCCTGGGCCCAGATTTTTTTCCTCCTTCCCAAACTTAAACCCTTTCTTTATTTCTCGACCTTTGCTTATGTAAATAAACCTGTTTAAATAATAAACCCTGTGGAAAAATTGGTAGAGTAACATTCATTAAGTTCATCAGTGGGTAAAAAAAAGATGTGGGAATATCAAATGTCTCCTTCAGCTCATATCAGGAGACAATTTCTAATAATGTCTTTGATTTTATAGACACCTAGAATTGTTCACTTCCATTCTGGGTATCATTCAATAATATCACAGAGAAAGGAAAACACATTCCATAAACTCCCTTCGCACAGGCTTCTGTGTCCCACCTCACAGCATGGAACAGGAACAGGAATTAACCCCGTTCCTCCTCAGAAAAGGGAAGTCTCCCCAGCTCAGGGGCACAGGGGCAGCTGTACCCACCTCACTCCACACCAGCATGGTCCCAAACACCACCTGCAGCCCATCAAAGAAGTTGTCCCCGATGATGATCACCATGGCTCCCCCCGTGGTCCAGCCCTCGCTTGGGCTGATGGCTTTGATGCAGGGCGTGGCTGCACAGAACAAAAAACCATCAAAACAGCTCTTGAAGGTGTCTGTTTTCATCCTCCCAAGAGCTTTGAGGCCTGGCTGTAAATCGCTGGAGCGATTCCTGTAAGTATCAAACATCCCAAGTGATGCAAAACCTGCATCACTGGTGGGGAGCAGCTCCACCCATCCACACCTGGGAATTCCTGAGTTCCCAATGCTAGCAGAGGCCTAGGACAAGTCCCTTCCAGCCATTCAGCCATTGAGGCTTCTCACCACTCCACAAACCCCAGTATGCTGAGAAATAAATAAATAAATAAATAAATAAATAAATAAAGGAGTGTTTTCTGCCTTGCAAGTGTTAATTACTTGCCTATTCATTACTGGCACTTAACATCGTGTCATTAAAGCCTAATAGGCCAACTGTAGTGGGTGTAAAAATGAAATGCTTAAATGATTGTGCAGAGGCTGCTTAAAAAAACCAAAATAACACCCACTGATTAGCATATGATCCCACAGACACAAACCCTCTGGAAAAAAAGGTACAGTCACATTCATTACATTTATCAATGGGTGAAAGAAGATATGGGAATATCAAATGTCTCCTCCAATTCATATCAGGAGATAATTTCTAATAATTTTCCTGATTTTATGGGGCCTTTTTTTTTTTTTTTATTTCTCTCTTCCATATGTTCAAGGCCCATGGACTATGCATCCCATCAGGAACCCAATATGGTTTCCAGGCCATAACCAAAGTCAATCCATCACTCCATTCCCAATGTTGACAGGGTCAGAGGTGGAGGGGAACTTTGGCAGTGCTCCAAAAACATGAGACTCCTTTGAACAGCCAGTCAATCACATCCAATCAGTCAAGGAAAAACTGGATGGCTTCCTAGGCTAGGAATCCTGGGATTTTCCTTCTACCATTTCACTGCCCGCTGGGGGAGAATTAACACCACTCCGAATTCTTTACTGATTCAATCATTTTCTTCCAGTTCATTAATTCTTCTTTTAGGTTGATACAGGGCACAGTTAAGAAGTGGGGCAGCAAAACATTATAATGAAATAATATCCTTGCTTGTCTTTTCTACTAACATCACCAGCTCTTCTCACTTTCAGTGGCTGCAGGAGAGGGAAAAGCAGGCACTGATAGCACTTTCCAGCATTTTCCAGTCGGTTTTGAGCACTGTCTGCATAAGGGAGGTGGAATGTTTTGGGAACGAAGAGGGAGAGGAGGGGCCGAACGTTTTGAAACTTAACAGATACAAGAATTTGTAATTGCTTGAATACAGTCCCCAACCCATCCTGGAGCTGGCCATGAGTCTGGCTTAGCCAAACAAACTCACATCAATTAGTGTCAGCTCCCTCTGCGCATCGTTAGGCTCCGTGCACAGTTTGTTTAAGGGAACCAGTGACACTTTTTCATACACATCTTGTGCTGGAACAGCTCTGTTTAACTAAGATGTCATCTTGCCTAATTTGCCTGAAATCAAATCTATCCCAGCTGAATGAGAGGGCTGAAATTTAGATAATACTTAGTGTTTCTGTGTTTTTCATCTTTGCAGTACATACTAATTAATAAATTGCAGGGGGATGGGGAGTCAGTCCCTTAGATGTGAGGAGGATCATATTTTGCATGCAGTAGACACTGTTTTCCTGCCTCTGCCTTCCCCAAACCCCCTGAGGCTCTGCAATTCCCCCTTAGCTCTCCTTCCCTCCTGAAAACAAACAGAAATGGAAGAATGGGTAATTTCTGCTCTGCTCTGCAGACAAAACTCCCACCTTCTGAGGGGTCGAGTCTTCTTGCTCTCCGCCCGTGCTTGGAGTTGTTGTGCACGAACATGTTGTCAGACGCTGCCAGCACGTGCCCATCCACGTTCACTGTTGTTGATAGCACCACCTGGATATTTAGAAAGAGAAGGAGAAAACAGCCAGGTAAACAATTTATTGGAAATTCAACTTGTTAAGGATTAATTATTCAGTTCGGCTAAACTTTACACCCTTGTTTTGTAAAATGGCAGAACACCCTGCAGGGGTTTAAGAAGGGGAAAAAATATTTTCACCCTTCATTCAGTGCATTAATTGCATTTAACACAGCATCCTGTGGGCTGTATAGAAGCCTTACTGTAAAATGACCCAGCTCCTGCAGGATGGAAACTCCATGAAAACAGGACCTAATATCATGCCTGGGTTTGATATGTGAGTGCATGGTGCCTCCTGAAAAATCGTCTGAGCCTGAGCGCCCCAAACCAAGAACAGGTTTTAAACATCAACCTCCATGACTGGGCTCCATTCTGAATTCTTAGAGGAAATAACTGTATATATTAATTAATCTCACTTTAGTTTTTACAGTATCCAAAGCTCTAAATCCCATCAATCCAGATAAAGATGTGTGACTTCAAACCACAAACTTTTGGGAAAAACAAGTGTTTTAACTCCTGAAAGAAGATGCCCTCTGACTGACTGGTTTTGACCATTAGTTGGTGTAAATGAGCTAAATTCCATCCCACTGCCACACCTACAGTACAGCACAGCCATGGAGAGTCAAACCCTGCATGTGTTCATGGATTTTCACAGCCTCAGATGTCACAGCTGAGGTAAGAGAATGTCAAGCTCTAATTGTTGATAAAACTCTATCCAGCACAGAGCAGGAGAGACCTTGCCCTCCCCAGGCTTAGGCGAGCTTAAAGAATACTTTCTTTCTTGAGACAACTCTAATTCATTCCAAAAGGCTCTTGTCATCCTGTACTCTTATACTTCTCAAGCATTCTTGTCACAGAATGTGTTGCTTTTGTGTGCCAACTGATTTCCTCATTCCCATTAGGGTGGGGTGTGACTCCATCCAAAGGGAACGTTTCCCTCATGACATAGCTGAGCCCACTCAGATGCACTTCATTATTTTCCCTTCAACAATGGAAATAAATTTTAGTCTCTCACTGGCCAGCCCAGAACACTCTGTGGCAAAGGGGAATAGGCCTGAATTATTCCAGTGTCTGAGATATTTACGACAAGTGTTTAAATTGTAACCAAATGTAAATAAAAAGTGTGTTTTGTATATACAGTTACACTATGGAATAGAGACATCTCTGAGCTCACTTACACGAGTGGGATAAATACACACCCACCTGCTCTCAGGAAGAGAACAGAGGCAGACTTCAAGTGTTCACACATAGAATAGAGTAATGGAATGTCCTGAATGGAAAAGAGACCCACTGGGATCATCCAGTCCAACCCCAGGCCCTGCACAGGGACCCCAAAATCCCACCCTGGGCACCCCTGGCTGTCCAAACCCTCCTGGAGCTGTGGCAGCCTCGGGGCCGTGCCCATTCCCTGGGGAGCCTGGGCAGTGCCAGCACCTCTGGGGGAAGAGCCTTTCCCAAAATCCAGCCTTTCCCTGATCCCCAACCTTTTCATGGTCTCCAGCCTGACCCTCCCTGGCACAGCTCCAGCTGTTCCCTGGTTCTGCCCCTGTCCCAGAGCAGAGGTCAGTGCTGGAATCACCATTTGGGTTGTGCACAACACAAAAGCCACATTTTGGTGGGAGATGTAGAGACCTCCACAGCAATGGCAGAGTAATGGCAAGAACCAGCCCAGAAAAATGGCAGATGCACTTCCAGACCTCTCTCCATGTGTGGCTCCATTTTTATCCACCTCTCCCATCCATGACAGGAGGGCCAGAGCCACTTGGCCTGTCACAGGCTGGGAGCCAGGGTGAATAAACAGAGCATTCTCATGGACAGGACAAGATGCAAAGTTCAGATCTGGAGCAGAACCTTCTCAAAGTTTGGGACCTTTTTTGCTGTAACCTGAATTTCAGCAGAGACCTTTGTCATTGCTACACCACCACCACCCAACTCCTCATCCACGGTGTGGAAAAAGGACATGTGAGAACATGGACATGAAAATGACTGAATTTCTTCACTTTGCCCCAGCTGTTCCCTCTTGCCTGATGGAGATCACAATACAATTGTTTTATTCTGGAGATTAAAAGCCAATGTTTTATGGATAAAAGGAGGAGGAATGTGCATTCCACCATGGTCTCTAACTCCCAGGCCCTTCCCTTTCACAAGCCAACTGCTTTCCCCCAGTGAGTATTTCCTGGGTCATGAAGGGTGACCCTTTCCATCTGGAATCAATCAGTCAACTCCTGACAACTTCCTGAAACACCTCACTCCATTTCCTGTTCTCTCCCCCTTCCCTCTTTCCCCCTGGTTTGCTTCACTCTTCAAAACTGCAGGCCACAGCAGCTTAATGTTAGAGGGTCAGACACAGTTAGACTCCAAAACACTACACAAGAACACCTTTGACCTTCAAAAATCTTTACATCTTAGCTAAACAAATCAAGGTCAACATTTCTTACCATTACCTTGTTAACCATTTCTATGCACTTTTGCCAATACCCTCCTGAACGTGTATTTATCAACAGCACTTGTTCTCCCAATGTCGTAAAATAGTCCAAGCCCTTTTTAAAAAACCCTGAATTTAGTGCTGATGAAAGGTGATGTGCAAACTTCCCTGGAGATTTAAATTCTGACTTTTGCCCACAGTGCTGGCAAATGGTTCTGGTGAGTTTTTCTTCTCCTGCCCTGATGCCACCACTTCTTGTGTATGATAATTTGGCTTCTTTGCCTATTCTCTGTGGATGATCTTTTACCTAACACCAGTTGTTAATGCAAAATTTAATCTAAAGGGAATGATCTGAGAACAACAAAATAGATCAGGTAGGCCATGGATTCTGGTAAGTGAGGCTGAGGGCCAAATTTTAGGCACAGACAGCATAAAAACTTAAGATTTTGTGCCACCCAAAAGCTGGACCAAACTGTAACCTCTGCTGAGGTTTCAGAGTGCAGCAAGCAAGCAAAAAGTAGAGAGGACAGTGTGTTATTCCTTCATCCTTCCAAACACAGATCCCATCTCCCTCAGAACACCGGGGGAATTAAGGATTCTAAGCTGTTTTCACACTCATTGAGGTTGTCCCTGCCAATCTGCAAAGGTCTTCTTATCAGCTGAGAGGCCACAGTCATAAAGCTGTGGTTCCCCAGCAGTCCTGGGGAAATGCTGGAGCTGTATCCACGTTATTTTTGTTTCCCAGGTGGATTTCTGTAATGCAATCCTCGCTCAGAACCAACAGGGAGGGTTCACCTCCCATGACATCCAGCAAAAGTGTCTTTAACACTTTAAACTCAGCTTCTCTGAGCCCTGCTGCCCCTCTTTCACCTCCCTGCACAGATCAGGGGATTGTGTTTCTTTACAAACCTTCACCTGGGTACTACAAATTTCCCTCCCCTAACTGTGTTATATCAGTATTTTTATATTCTAAAGTGTGCTGCTCTTCAAATCACAGATATGCAAATCCATTCATATCCTCAGATGTAAAATCTGTATCAGTCACAGACACCTATTTAGACATATGGTACAAACATTCCAGGCATACAGGCATTTACTTACATGTAACATATCTCATCACTGTGTAAATGATCTCTCTCAAAAAATTCCTGTTACCATTCCAAGTGTGGAAAAAATTCTTTATGACATTGTACATCTGGAAACAATATTGCATTCCTGATGCACTTTCCCTTGGAACTCTCTAGTCACAGCATCATGTTATTTTAACTTTTCAAAAAAAACACCCTGTTATGAGGATATAATAATAATAATAATAATAATAATAATAATAATAATAATTATTATTATTATTATTATTATTATTATTATTATTTTTATTTTTATTTTCCAGCTGAGTGGAAGGAAAGATGTCAGGCCTCATCCTGCTGCCTGGACTTGGACAGGGCTCCCATTGATGTCAACAGGAATTTTGGTTGAGGGAGTAACACGGGAGGAGAGCCTGGATATGATGGGTTTGCCTCAGAGTTGGATTGGGAATAAGATAAACAATGTGGAAAATGCCAGCAGCCTCACTCTGCTCAAAACTTCCATGGAATTCTTTGGGAAATCCTCTCCACAACCCTGATCCTGCAGACGGGGGGCTGACAGCAAACTGGGCACCCTACCTTCACCCAGGGGAGCTGAAGGTTCTTGGGACACAGGCTTGGACACCACTCCTGGGTCACTGACACCTTGTCTGCTGCTGTTATCCACAGACAAACCATGGAGCTGATTTCCTAAAATCATTTGCAGCCATTTCCACCTTCTGCCTTTGACACTCGTCTTGTTTTAAAGCCCGGTGATGAGGGAATTTATGGCTCACAGCCTAAATTTATTCCTAGTCAGTTTGTACTTAACGTTAGCTTTAAAATTATTATTTCCCTTCCTGACCTTCCTGAGGGTAATTTCAGAGAGCAGTTCCACCCCTCCCCAGTGCAAGTATTTGAGCCAAGCTCTTGTCCTGCCCCTGTCCCCTTAATGACCCATTCCTGCACCTGTTCCAATGGCATTTTGCTCTCCTTTGGCTGTAGTTAATCCAGTGTATTGTACCCAAACAAGAATTCAGAGGGGCCCAACACAACAAATCTGCCTCCTTTGTGCTGGCAGTCTGAGGCTGAGTGGATCTCATCTGTGGTTTGTTTTTAGTGGATGAGACATCACTCTGGGAACTCTCTTTCCCCATGGATATTTGGCCTTCAGATCTGAGCACATTAAGCTCCTTGGGTACTTTTTCTCTTGCAATTGAGTCAATCCTTCCCTTACTCACTCAGAATATAAAATAACATCACCTTTTGTTGGGCCAGTCAGTACCTGATGAAGAAATCTGCCCCCTTCCAGGAACAGGCCCAGGCTCTGCTGACAGCAGCTGCGTTTGTTTTGCAATCTCTGCCTGGGAAATGTTTTTTCCATGCAGTGTTCACCTCTACCAGCAGCTCAGTGATCCCTGTCCATATCCCAGCCTGACCACGGGGGTCTCTGGCACTTTCCTTCCCCAGCAGCCTGAACACGATTCCCATTTAGGACAGTGATGTTTTATCCTTGCCATCCTTTTTGCTTCCTGCAGCCTTCATTCCTAACTCCCAATATCATCCCACCCCTCTCCATCATTTCCCGTGTCCCTGAGTGCCACAGAGCCCTCAGAGGCTGGATTAGAGTGAGCTGGGTGAAATCCCAGCCCCAGCCAGCCCTGCTCACGTGCCTGATGATGAACTGATCCAACCACTCCGAGGTCAGCAAGGAAACCTCCCCAGGGGTGCACCTTGTTATTTTTCCTTTCCCTTTCTCCCTAGAGCATATAGAGGAGGGGGGGGTACCTGCCAGGAAACATTCCATGTCATGTTTTCTGCTGAAAACAGAGGGCAATTACTGACCTTTCTCATTTTGCTCCTAAGAAAGGACATTGGTTCAAAGCTGATCACTGTTAGAACCAATGTCCGCTGCCTGCCACCCCTCCCTGTTTAATCCCTGTGCTCCTGGAGGAAACAGGATTCCCAACCAACAGGAGCCTAATGTGTGAGCACCATGTCTCAGCTGAGGAGCCTCATCTTAATTCTACAGAATTATTGTCCCCCTTCACACACCACTCGTTACCATTAAAGTATCACTGGGCTTCAATCAAGTTCTGCAGGAGAATTCCTCATTAAATGGAGGGCATAGTTTTTGGGGGTTTTATTTTTAAGTTCCATTCCTGGGAGAATCCCTCACTGAGAACACAGCCCTGACTAACAATACCTATGTAAACTCAATTTGCAGAGGAGCTGAATTCAAACCCTCTGTTTAAATAAGTAATTTTGGGATGATTTTTGCCTCAGTTTTCCACCCATCAGCTTTATTTGGAAACATTTTAATTTATAAATAACCAATATTTATTTCAGTTAAATTCACAAGGACGTACTGCTTGGTCTCTGTGGGTTTTGGGCAGCCATCAAGTAACTATGAAAGTACCCCTTAGTTCTAGAAATATTCCCTTTCCTTTAGTTCTAGAAAGAGTCTCTTTCCCTGCTTTAGCCACTGACAGACATTGAAGAAGTGATTCACAATAAAATCATGTTACTACAGGGGGAAAAAACCTCACTAAAATAATGATCACACATTCCTTAACTTCTGAAGTAAAACATAGTTTTCAACAGCACAAAATCATTACATTTGGTTAAAAAAGGAAGGCAAGAGGATCACAAAGCAGCTGGTGTTGCTCTCCAAACTAAAGAATTATAATAAAAAACCACAACTCTTCAGGCATCTGGAGCTGCATTAAATTTACAACACAATGTTAATGCAACCTTTCCTCCCCTTTCTCTCCCCACCCCCCTTTTTTAATGATACACATGAAATCTAAGATTTAATTTATCTTAAGATATTACTAGTATAATATGAAATATCTAAATCTTGCAATGGCTCTGGAAGTGAGGCTGGGGCCAGGCTTGGCCACTGGATCCAGAGCTTTGGAGCTTTGGGGATGAGCCAAGCCAAGCCCAAATTGTGCAGCTTCACACCCATTTTAATCAGAAGCATTGCTTGATGCTTTTCCATCATGAGTAACCATTGCTCTGTGCTGGAAAGCTCAGTAGGATGCATTGCAGGGCACTATTTCCACATCTCATATTTGTACTTGTGCCTCAGCTCTGGGCTTTCATTCAGGCTCCATTAAAGAACAAAAACAGCCTTGGACAAGACCCTTTCAAGCCCAGGTTTCAGCAGTGGTTTAAATGAGAACTTTGCTAGAAGGATTTTCTCTGCTCTTTTGTTTAATAACCACAGAGGAAAAGGAGGATCCTGATGTCTCCTGGAGGTTTGACAAGCACTACTCCATTGAAAATGAAAATATTTGGTTCTGCAGAAGAACACAGATAGGAATTGAAGCACACTTAGATGAGCATTGCTGCAGAATTCTGTTTGCATAAGGAAAGCCAAGTGCTTGGAAGTGTCTGGGAAAGGAGGGACTTAATAACAACAGCTGTACAAATAATTTATTGGGGGAAAACCAGCAGAATTCTTAGATATGGCCCAAGACTGAAACATAATGAATTAAATAATGAAATGAATAAACCACTCTGCTGCCCTGTGGTTTTTGAGGCTGCTTTTACTCTGCTCACAGGTTTCTGCACTGGCAGGATGCACAACTACCCCTTCAAACTTAATAGACAACTCTGCACATTCATTACTCTGCCTGGTGAATATCTTAACAACTAAAATGAAAATTAACATGTCCAAAGCATGCAAACAGACCACTAATATTTTAAAGTAATTTTTTTCCCCCACTTTTGACTTTCAGGGCTGCTGACAGGCCATGCCCAACAAACAGCAGGCAAAAAGAATTTATCAAAATTTTAAAACAGAAAACTCAACACACACACACAAAAAAAAAATCAACCAAAAATAAAAGAAGTGTCCAGAGGCCACTGGAGTGTTTTAGAACACTCCTAACTCTGGTTATGTTCAGGGAAGAAATGATGATGTCCTTAGAATCCAGGAGGCAGACAGAAAACAAGCTGTCTTTGCCCATTGTCCTTCCTGTTCATCATGGCTAGTTTGCTTTGGAACACGGAGCTTTGTTATTCCCAAGGTGTCAAATTTTAGCAATTTGAGCCCCTTTTTGTATCTTTTTTTATCCACACTGACCTCTGCAGCCCAGAACAAAGCTCAGCAACCAATGAGTCCAGCTCTGAAGCAGCCTGAATGAAGATCCTGCTCTCACTCAAAACCTCAAGCATTCTGCCATTTGTCTCAAAGGTTTTCATTCTGTAACTCTGAGAAAAGGTTGACATTTTTGGGGGGTGTTGATAAAAACTAAACTGAACTTAGTGGTTTTAAAGCCTGATCTTGATTAATTTGGGGGCCTGAAGTGAACTCTCACACTGAGACTCCCATGGACTGAACGTGCAGGAGGAGTTGAAGTTACCCCAGAGAAACAGAACCCTGGAGTTTCACTTGGCTCTGTTTGCCCAGCTTGGCATGTTTGGAGGAAGAAAACCCAGCTGAGGAGTCTATCCCAGCTCATTCTCCTCAATAAAGTGCTGGTTTTGGTGCAGAGGCCAAAAGCAAGGCCAGGCTCTCTCCCATGCAGGAGAGCTGCCAGGTGGATGGGCTGAGGAATGAAGGAATTCCATCCTCATCCACGGGACCCTGCAGGATTTGGTGCTGTTTCCCTGTTTCAGGTTTCCCTGGACATCTGAGGCTGTTGGGCTCTGTCACATCCCCATTCAGGTGAGGTGACACCAAGAACAACGCTAACAACACAGATTAAAGTTTGATCCAAACTCCTCCTTCAGCTCAGCATCTGATGGACATCAAGGATTTGAGGATTTTTTGGGAGTGGCCAGCATGGGTTTGGAACCAGAGCTGAATTTCTCCAATATCCCAATGTGTTTGGGTCCAGGATTTCTCTTTTGGCAGCTACAGCCAATATTCTGTGTATTGTGGCAGTGCCTCAGGTCCCCAGGTGTTCATCAGGAGAGCCCTGGGCACGATTTTTTACAAACTCAGAACAAAACCCCCCCAAAAAAGGAGATTATTTATGTTTCCTGACATTCCACAATCAGTTCTTCTTGCTGGCTCCAAAAGCCAACAGGATGTGTTTACATGCTGTAAAAGAGGTTTTCTTTTGCTTTCCAGATTTTTTAGCGTTCTTGGCAGATGATAACTAATTGCTGGTTCTTTTCTTTATGGAAATTGCCACTTGAAAAAAAACTCAGTATAAATTCCCTAACAATGAGCACCTCTTTTTTTCTCATGTCTTATCATCTCTAAAGAACACAGAGTGAAGAAGTCACTGCAGTCTCTTTAAACTACCGGTGAAAAAAATTAGGTTGGTCAGGAATTTTTCTTTAAAATTCCTTCTTCATGCTCCAAACTAAAAGGTAATAAAACTGGGTTGTTTTTTTTTTTTTTTTTTTTTTGCTGCATTTCTTTAATTTTTCTGAGCTTTCAGAAGATTTTGTTTTGCAGGATTTCTCATAAAAGTTGAAACTTCTTTTTAAAATTATTAAATTTTTCAGTGCTAGCAGAAGCGGAAGAGAAATAAAAATGACAGCATTTTGAGAATGCATTTTGATGGAAAGTCTCAAGCAACTCTGTAAACTCCAGTGGAGTTTTAACTCCATTTATAAATGAGGAAGCTCATGTAAGCAACCCCATTCGGAATCAGAGATGAGAAGAGAGGGGAAATGGCTCACCAAAGGTCCCCCAGTAAAGCTGGGGAGCAGCCCAACCACCTGATTCCATGGCTGTGCCTCAGCCTTGCCCCAGAGTCAGCTCCAGCCCCACTTTCTGCCATCTGACAGCACATCCAGGCTCTCAGAGCTGCACCATCCCCTTGCTGCTCTACCAGGGGCAGAGCTGAAGGGGAAACTGTTATTTATTAAACAGAGCTGCCAAAAAGGTGAGGGCAGGAGAGCCTCCCCCCTCTCCTCTCCTCTCCTCTCCTCTCCTCTCCTCTCCTCTCCTCTCCTCTCCTCTCCTCTCCTCTCCTCTCCTCTCCTGTGACATCTCAAAGTGACCATCGCTATTTTGGCTTCTTGTTTTGTTGTTGCTGTTTTTTACAGAAGCTGAAGGGAGGATGTGAGAGTGTTAGAAAGCAAAACATAACAGGGAAAGAGGTAGGAAATGAGGAGGTTGCTTGTGTAGCACGTACAGAGCTACTTTGAACAATTCTGAGGCATCTAAATATCACAGGCACGATCCCTGCTGTGGGCAGCTGGATCTGCGAGTGCTTTGCCCGAGGGTGTCAAATCAAATATCCACTGCTGGTTGGTACAGTACAGCACTTCCCCCTGGGGATTCAGGGTGGAGAAAGAGGGAAGGAAAAGAAAGGAAAAGGGAAAAAAAGGTTTAAACACAACAAATGGAGAGAAACTTGAGCGCTGTCTGATATGGCTTTTGTCATCGTGTTTGTTAGGGGCAGTGTAGGAGAGAGGGAAAGGAAAAGAAGAACAGAGGCAGACAGGTTAATGCTGAGCCTTGTAAGACTTACCTGGAACCGTCTCATATCTCTTGGGTTTCCTGCTGTTTTCAAGCAATTCTGATTGCACTTGAGAAAAAATTTTAGGAAGAATCTGGAAAGAGAAAGAACCATATCACTTCTATTAACCACAGCAAAAGGTGTTGTTATATTCTGGTTTAAAATGTACATGAAGTGGTTTGCATCATACTGGATCTTAGAGGACTGCAAGGATTTATCAAAACACACAAACCAAACTCTAATAAAAGGAATTTACACAAAACAGCAGGTAAAGTATAACCAGTGTGACTGAAATCCACTGTGGTGTAAGTGAACGTCATTCCTCTGATCTACGCCCAGTCCCTCTCCACAGGTTTGACCACATAATTTTAATCTCTTTCTTATCTCTCCCTCACATTCAAGGTCTTTTTTTGGCTGTCTGGAGGGACTTCCCATGAAACAATATAGAAGCATAATGGTATTGTGGAGACCACAAACCAACAGGGCGACTCGGAGGCAGATAAGCCTTGGAATGTATGAAAAACCCAGGAGCAAACACAGCTCAGGGAGGAACCTGATGAGGATTCATTCTGATGGTGTTTTTTTCTGATGAAGATTCTTGTCACAAAAGCAGAGGAACAGAACTGCCAAAAGCCCAGACTGTTCCTACCTAGATTCAGAGGGAGGATAAGGAGAACACGAGCTCAAGTGAAACATGACAGCTCACGCTGTCCGAGCAGATAAACCCATTAATATCCCACAAAGTTCTCGTGCCAATTATTTTTGTTCTGTCACATACACCCATCTTCATACGGTTTATCATTCTGTAGCGTTTACCTTGTCATGTACCCAAGTTGAATCTCCAGCCTGTTTGGTGACTCACCCAACACTGCATGGAGATTTTAGAGTTTAGAAATATTCAGCAGGAATTTTTCCCTAAGCTATTCCACCAAATTTTGTCTCACATCCACAGAGGAAAGGATTCACCCCTTTGTTTTCTGGTTGAATCTGGACGCTTCAGAGGTGAAGAAATTGTGTGAAAAGCCACAGTTGTTGGAACAAACAAGTTTTCAAAATTTAGGCATAAGCAAGAAATATTTTGGCATCCTCTGTTGCAAGTGAAAATATTCGCCGTGATTCTTTCCGTTTCTATTTGTCAGACAAGATGGGTTTAACCGCAACAATTATAATTAAAAAAATAAATCAACGACTTTGAGATAGATTTAGAAGGAAAAAGAGTCATATACAAGGAAAAATAAATAGTTGAAGAATTGATTTTGAATACAAAGAACAAGTTATTTATTTATTTCTCTTGCTGAGTGCTTGCCTTTAAAAAAAAAATAAATCTGCTTTTGCAGTAAGTTAAAGTCCCAGGTGAGCCAGGCCTATTTCCCTTTCTGTTACTATGACAACGATTTTTTACCGCAGTCCCTAAGTCCCTTCAGAACTCACACATTCATGCCTTGAATTAGAACTTTAAAGGAGAAAGATGGATATTTCCTGGGTTTACCAACAACACCCTCCAAACCAGCCCCAGCACAAGACAATAACGCAGAAATCTGCTCCCCTTGTTAGTGCCACTTTCTCTGCACTACTCCCACCACAAGATTTCTCCTCCATCTGCCCAAAATACAAAGAAAAAGCCACGGGTTGGATCCATTTGTGTGCTGCTTGAACAAACCAAACCCCTCTGCAAACCTCACCCACAAAAAAGACACAGATTGTACCATGTAAAACCACTGCCCAAAACCCACCGTGGCCAGGGACCCTTTTCAATTAAAATGTTCTCTTTTTAACTATTATTCCCTTTAATATCTCACAAGTACGTTCGATATTTTTAAAATGTTTATTTTCTTAAGGTGAGACTGTTATTTTCTCCACATTTCCTTCTCATTTCAGGTCTCCCTTCAGCAGGACATTGAGGCTCAGCAGGACAGAGGTGTCAGTGCTCAGCTCTCACAGGGCAACTTCTGCCAACAGAGCCCTCGGCACCTCCATGGCTTCCAAACTAAAAATCTTACAGAATTTCATGCCTTGGGAGCAGCATTGAACATATTTTATTAAATAAGTCCTGTCAAGTCCATGCTAATACCTGTGACCTCTTTTATACGAAAGATTTGGTGAGATTTTATCCATAAAAACGTTTTCAGAAGGAAAAAATCCCCTGCACACTGGCACTCTCAGAGACTCACAGGATAATGTGAGGCATAAATGTTACTCACAAACACTCCTTTTTCTCTTTCCCTCTTCTTAGAGATATAAAAAAGAGTATTTGCAGATATATAAAAAGCTTATAGATGTGTCTTTGCAAAGGAAAACTCCAGAATGAAATCAAACTATAAAATGAAACAAGACAAGGAACTTTTATATGAAAATCAATGAGCCTCTGGCTGATCATTCTGCAGGAAAGCCACCAAAAAAAATTCACAAATTGTTACTTCTAAGGAAATATGAAATAAATTAAGCAGGAAAATGGCCAGCTTATTTTTTAATTTTTTGAATGCTTGCATCCCTTTTGATAGAGATGAGAAAAATTATCAACATGAACCAAAGAACAAAGAAAATGAGCAGGGAAAAGTGTTTGGGGGAGAACTTGCGGTGTCAGCTGGGCTGGTTTTGGGAAGAGGACAGATCCTGGGGGACTGTGAGTGGCACAACCCCTAAAAGGCAGATACAGAGAGGCAAAAACTCCAAATGTGCATTTCACAGCATCCACGAGCAAACTCTGCAGCGCGGTGTGGCAAGGAACAAAAATCCCCTTCTTCTGCTAAATGCCTACAGAAAACCAGGGCTCAGCCCCCCAGCAAACACAAACCAGCAGCGCACCTGAAAATGAAGCTGGGTCCCAATTAAATCCGGGCTGATTCGTGCCAGGGGGGGCAATGGGCATTAAAAAAATACAGAAAACAAAATTTGCCCAGTGCCCGAGCTGCGGCAGCGCTGAGGCTCCCAATCCCCCCCGAGTGCTCTGCACCAAACACATCCCAGGCAGGGAGCCTGGCACGGCCAGCCTGGGCATTGAACCCTGGGCATCCCACTGAGGGTCCCACTGAGGGGTCCTGGAGCTGCCTTCACTTTCTGGAACTGATGAACAGCTCAAAATGCCGAAAGTTTTGCTGCTTCAAGACATCACAAAATTCAGAAAGGGCTGGGTTTTCTTTTGGTGCTTAAATATCATGGCAGAATTTATATTTATTTTGCTAAGATGTTTGTTGGAGATCACTAGATATGCTGCACTGTGACAGTTTCCCCCCTATCACCCCAAAATTTAGATTTAATTTCATTTAGCTGCCCACACAAGGATTTTTATCTTTTTTTTTTTTTTTTCCCAGAACCACACCTTTCTTTTTCTCTTTTCCAGAGTTCCTTCAGTCAAATTTGAGCTGCAAGTGGGCATCTGTATGAAGTATTTGGAAGGTTGTTGTATATACATTTATACACATATATACCCATATACACATATATGTGTGTTTGTGCATGTACAAATGTGGGGGTTTTTTTTAAGATGTTGCATCTGGGAAAGGCATTAATATTTATTGCAGCATTAGAATAAAAATTACTTGGGGGGGAGCAAAGAGGAGGGAAGATTTAGCACTAACTGAAGCTGATTTAGGGGTAACAAGAGAATTGCAGAAAGATTTTATTAATTTCTTTAAATGAGACACTTTAGCCAGTTTTTGGCCTTAACCTATATATACATGAAAAACAATAATTTTTTTTAAACAGAATTATAAAAAAATAGCTGATTTTGATGGTTCTGGCCAATCTTTAGCCTTGTTGAGGACAGAATTAGGTGGAAGTTTAGCAGGTGACTCTGGCTCCAGCCAAGCAAAGGGACCTTGGCCCATGCTCTCAATATTTCAGGATGGTGGGGGAAAATCTAAACACATTTCAATAACTACCCCTGAAAACTCTGGCATTGCTATGGAAAAGCAGATTGACTTAATGCACAGACATAAAATTAATTAAGATATAAGTACAGATTTCTGTTCCTGTTGTGTCTCTCTCATCGTTGACCTCTCTGGGCACAGATTGAGGCACTTGAGAGGTCTCCAAAATGCCACCTTAACTCTGCCTCCCTCTTTTTAGAGCTGTTTTAAAAGTTACTGCTCCTCCTGCTGGGAGCTCCCACCGAGCCCAGGAGTTCAGCTGGGGAATGGTTGAATTTCCCCTTTTCCACTCCAGGCCAAAGTCAGCTGTGTTATCCCAACTCTATTTTAGCAATACCTTGAGCAATCCTCGGTGGGGAGCACCAGGAGAGCTCCCAACACAGCTGAGGGGTGCGTGCACATGGAGAAAGGGTGAGGGCAAACAAAGCCAGGTCTTGCATCAATTAAACTGTTCCCAAAGCAGGTTTAGACCCACGGTCCCATCTTGTCTGTCTATGCCCAAATAATCAGGTTCTGTGCCTGGCTAGGACTGGAACCTGTGCTCCACACCTGTGAGGATGTTTGTCCACCTCAGATGAGTGGGAAGAATCAAATTGACCTTAATCAAATCCTGCTGGAGTCAGAAAAATATTCCTGGTGACTTTGGCAGGACTAGGCAGAAGCCCCAAAGCTCAGTACCACATGCAGCAGAAAGTGTAATTTAAAAAAAATAAATTAATTAATTAATAATTTTTATCCCACATCCACCTTTTATGCTTCATTAAAATAGAGGTACAGAATCAAGAGGTCCAACATCGGCTGTATGCTGGGAACAGCCAGTGGATACACCTAAAATTCTGGACATAATTAAAAATTCCCCCTTGTAAAGCAAATACTTCTGGCTTTTCGGGGTTGCTGTGGAATTTGGAGTTGCCGCCTCAATCATTTTTTGGCATGAGAACACACCTACCATCTAGGATAATTCTGAATTTGCCTACCAGCAAATCCTGTGATCCCAAAACCTAATGAAAATCTAAAGATACTGTGCAATTCTGCTTAAATAATTCAGTGCTTCCAAAACGTCACAAAGAGAACAAAGAAAAACCACAAGTTGCTACTATGGGTATCAGTGTAACAATATTAAATTAAAATATTCTGTGAACTGCAAAAGTGTTATTATTGCAGTGAGGGCCTGACTCCAGCTCCATCAGAACAAGGGAATTCTGGATCAGGTCAGATCCTCCCC